TTCCCTCCGGAGTTACCACCACCACCCAAGACCGTCCACATAACGACAATCTGGGCGCACAAGCATCAAACACATCTCATGAGGACAATCATATAAAATCCCATGTTTTATCCTATTTAATGTCATTACTGGTTCCCCTATGTCCAATTATATCATCTTAGTCTTACAAATCAAGGGAAACAACATCGTACGCGAAATCGGGACAAAATAACGAAATTGGGAAAATTGCACTACAATCCTGCCCATACGCGTATGACCACTTTTCCTCGCCCCAGGCCTACGTACCATACGTGTAGTGCATAAATGCTCAGGCCTCTATACGAGTATTGCTAAGGCCAAATACGTATGACTAGAGGGGGTTTCTCTTGGAACTCTCCTAAAAACTTCCCTTATGTGTATTGAATGTCCCATACACGTATTGCCACACTCTCATACGCGTACTGGGTTCCCTTATACGCGTACCAGCAGAGAATCTGGCTGGCCATGGGGATAGGGCGCGTACGATATGCATATGCCCTTGGGAATGTCCCCTCATACGCGTTTGGCTTCACTGCATACGCGTATGGGCCGTCTGTTCATCCAAAAACCTATTCTCACATTAGAGCAAATTTTTCTCCATTAGAGCACTTTCAAGCTCCCAATTTCGACCGACAATAACATTTGTATCAGTTTAATCCTAAGGGTTTCATTCTACTTCATTAAACTATTCTTCTATTCAAGTTTTTCATAATTTAAAACCACATTTCGTCATCCCCCAAACCCATACACTTCCAGATCTGATTTCTTATGGAAAAAGCACAACAACAGCGCACGTATCACGTGAATTTCACATTAGAACAATACCCAAAACATGCTTTCACAACAACAATTACACAAATATAAAATCATGCAAGAAGAAGGAGAATGCACATAGAATACACATAAAATACTAGAGGGAAAAGAACCCTCACTACCCTCTCATGTTTAGACCACCATTAAAGAATCCCATTCTCCCCCTTACCTTAATTCTAGGCATTCTTTCTCTAACAATGGTAAAGAGTCTTCGCCTCTACTTGCCCTAACTCTGCTTCCTTCTCTCTTTCTCTTTCTCTTTTTCTTTTCCCGTGAAACTTATTCCTTTAACTTCCTTTTCCCACTTTCTACTAATTATGGTTATTTTCCTTAATAATAATAATAATAATAATAATAATAATAATAATAATAATAATAATAATAATAATAATAATAATAATAATAATAATAATATTACCCTTATTACTTGGAATAATTGTTCCATGTCATAATAATAATAATATTAATAATGAAATGTTTATCCATTAACATTTATATTATTATTATTATACTATTATTCTAAGTTTTATTCCAACTAGCTCATTACACTAAATTCTCACACTCACCCTTACACACATCTCCTTAACCAAGACAATGACAACATAATCACACAAAGTAACTCACAAAATGACTAATTATTTAAATAAGGTTTTACAGGCACTCCCTTCATCATGATGTCTGCAATCTGATTCTCAGTTCTATAGTGTTCCAGGTTCATCTTCTCTTCTGCTACCTATTTTCAAATATAATGGAACCTCATTTCAATGTGGTTGCTTCGACTGTGTGCTATTGGATTCTTCGCCAAGTTGATAACTGACATGTTGTCGACCTTCATGGTAATTGCTCCATGACTCTTCACTGTGATCTCTTCGACCAGGTTCACCATCCAGGTTGCTTAACATGCACAAAAAGAAGTGGCTATATATTCTGCTTCGCATGATGACAATGTCATTACTGGCTCTTTTCTCGAACTATAATAAACTAGTGTACCACCTAACATAAACACATAGCCAGCTGTGGACTTTCTATCCTCAGCATCACTACCCCAACATGAGTCAGTGTATCCCACTAGCTTGCATTATTTTCCTTCAACAGCTGCATGAAATAAAATATCATAGTCGAAAGTTCCTTTCAGATACCTCAGTATCCTTTCCGTCGCTGCTAGGTGTGATACCTTTGACTTCTGAATGAATCTACTTACCATACCCACACTATATGCTAAGTCAGGCCTTGTATGAAAAAGGTATCTAAATGACCCAATAAGTCGTCTATATTGGGTTAGATCGACATCATCTTAATTTTAATCTTTCGACAGTTGCAATCTAGTCTCAGCTGGAGTTGAAGTTAGGTTGCAATCTTGCATCTCAAATCTTTTGAGTATTTCGCTTGCATATCTTCTTTGGTGCATCATCAAACCTATACCAGTTTTGTATAATTCGATGCCAAGGAAATATGATAGATTTCCCAAGTCTGACATTTCAAACTCCTCCCTTAGGTCATGTTTGAAATCTTCGATCTCCTTTTTACAACTTCCTGTTATCAACATGTCACCGACATAGAAACATAGTATAATCAATTCACTATTGCTTCTCCTTACATAAACTACATGCTTACTTGTGCACTTCACAAATTTTTTCTCCCTTAAAAAGTTGTCAAACTTCTTATTCCAAGCTTTTGGATCTTGCTTAAGTCCGTACAAGACTTTATGTAATCTATACACCTTTCTTTCTTCACCTTGTTTCACAAACCCAACTGGTTGTGCAACATAAACTTCTTCGTCTAAGGGGCCATTCAAGAATGCACATTTCACATCCATCTGACATGTGTGCCAATTATTCATGTTTGCTATACCAACAACCAACCCGATTGTTTCGATCCTAGCAACAGGTACAAAAAATTCGTCGAAGTCAACTCCTTCCTTCTGTAGAAACCCTTTCGCCACAAGTCTTTCCTTGTGTCAAGTTACCTCTCCTTTAAGATTCACCTTCACCTTGTAAACCCATTTCACATCAATTGCCTTCTTTCCTTAAGGCAATTTGACAAGTGACCATGTGTTGTTGACTTCGATGGAGTCTAACTCTTCATTCATTGCTTTCACCCACTTCAAATCTTTCAATGCCTCAGCTGTATTGAATGGTTCGACATCTGCGTAGAAAGCATAATGTACTAGCTCTCCCTCTTTATCGACCACATCATCTGATGTAATCACACATTCTTGAGACCTTGCAGGAATGTGTCTTGTTTGTCAAGATCTGTTTGGGCCTGCTTCATTTCTGACTTGTTTCTGTCGAACTTTTCTTTTGACTACTGCGGATGGTTCTTCACAAGATATTCTCACTAAATCCTTCTTGGCATTCTCAATCAAATCCCATTCTTTAAGCTCATCTATGATCACGTCTCTGCTGATCACTATCTGCTTATTCACTGGATTGAACAACATGTAATCTCTAGTAGAATGATATCCTATCAAGATCATCTAATTCGACATGTCATCAAGCTTCCTTCTCAACTGATCTGGCACATGTCTATGTGCTATAGATCCAAACACCTTCAAGTGACTGAGGCTAGGCTTGACACCAGACCAATATTCTTCTGGTGTGATTTCTTCAAGCTTCTTCGTTGGACATCTATTTAATATGTATGTTGCTGTCGAAACCGCCTTTCACCATAATTCTTTGGGTATATGCTTTCCATTCAACATACTTCTCATCATGTTCATGATAGTTATGTTCTTTCTTTCTGCAATTAGATTTTTCAGTGGAGTGTAGCGTGGTACCACCTCATGCACAATCCCTTCTTTTTCACATAATGCATCAAACTCTTTCGACACATACTCTCCACCACCATCAGTCCTCAAAATTTTTAGCTTTCGACCACTCTGTCTTTCGACCATAGATTTGAATCTGGCAAATACCTCGATCACATCACTTTTCTTATTGATGAGGTAAGTCCATAACTTTTGAATGTAATCATCTATGAACGTGACAAAATATTTGTTGTCTGCAATCGAATCCACCTAGATAGGGCAACATACATCAGAATATATGACTTTCAGAATTGCCTTCGACTTCCTTCCTACATCCTTCCTGAAGCTATTCTTGTGTTGTTTCGACTGAACACACTCTTCATAGACTTCACTTGGAATATCAATTACAGGTAATCCTGAAGCCATATTTCTTCTCTTTAGCTCTCTGATATCATTGAAGTTAAGATGACCTAGTCGAAAATGCCATAACCACTCATCTCTGTAGGTTGCAGTTGCTAGGCACTTATGCTCAATCACATTGAGTTCAATCTTAAAGAAGATGGATATGAACTGCAGAGTAACTCTCTGTCCACAACTGTGAAATTTTATCATCACTTTGCAACTGAAAAACCGTGATTATCAAACTTGATGATCACAATAATAAAGGTTCCCCCTATTTATAGATTTATGTTAACTTGCATCTCAAGCTAAAATTCAAACTATAAAAGTTCAAAAATATCTAATTTAATCTTTTTAAATCAAATATAATCTTTCTAAATCAAATCTAATCTTTCTAAAACAATAAATTATATATTTAATGGTACTTCAATCCCATTTTATTGGTTTGAGGTTTTTGTGTGTAAGGTTGTTCAATTTATTAAATTAGTTCACTTAACTATAATGTTTTGCATATTTCTACCGGCCTAATGGAAAATCCAACCATATGTGTGATAGTTACCATTGATATTTTATATTATTTTTTTAAAAATTATTATGGTTTTAAAAGAATAAAAATAAATTTTTTAACGGTAACAAAGTAGAGTTATCAAAATTGAGACGGCTTATGTAAAAATATGAATATCCATACACTTGGGCAAAACAAAGAACAATTACTTTCTTGAGCAAAGTAAAAAGTTATACCTTATACAAAATCTTAGCGCAACAAAGAGAAATGGAATATTGCCCAACCTAGTTGTACTAAAAAACCAAAATATAAATAAAGAATAATCTGCATGACAAGGAAAGCGTTTAAGTTTAACCATAATATCTAGATTTCATTATATATAAATACACAAAGCGATGAAACATAAAATAACTCAACTAGTTTTCAATATCAACGCATTTTCATAACCACACTTTGGTGAGTCGCAAATATTCAGTACTCTACAAATAGAGAAAAAAAAAATTGTATTGTTAAGTTATTATGGCTTTCAACTCACAACGTACATTTAGAGGCAGAGCTCCAACTTTCCGATTACCACTTTCAGTTCTTCGTGTGTATGAAACATGGGAGCCTAAATCAGATTTGAAAGAAACTTCTGAAGCTTATTCTCTTCATGTTTATCTTCCTGGTGCGTACTTTTATATATACTTTTATGTGTTTATCAAAATAAGATTTATTTGTTTTGAACAATAAAAAATAGCAGTTAATAGATATTTTATTCTCTATGAACGAATTTTAAAACATTTTACAAAATATTAAGATTCTCATTTGATCTCTCACGAGATTCGGCCATCAAAATATTAAATAATTCGAATTACTTGGTCGAACTAAGGACCTTTCACATAATGTACAGAGAATATACGTCTTAGCTAGGCTTTTTGTTTTGTTTACATTTTCTGAATGTTTATATTATATAATTTTTTAAAATTATATAAATAAATATTATTTTAAAATAAATTGCATATAATTGAATATTATTGAAAAGAATAAAAAAAAATTATTTAGACAAAAGAAATTTTGATAAGTTTTGTTTTAACAAGTTTATTTTAAAATAAATTATATAAAATTAAATTTTATTAAATTGAATATTATTCAAATACATTTTAAATTGTGATTGAATATTTTAAAATGTTTTTAAATATTTTAAATAATATTCAATCATATTAAAATATGTTATAAAATATGCAAACACTTTTTTTATATATATTTCCCATTTTCAGAGTATTTGAATATTTAAAAATCTCAAAGGTATAATATATCTTGGATCAAAATTTAGGGTATATATATTTTTTATTTTTGTATGTTTTAAAATTTCATAGTTTTATATATTTCAAACTAATTTATTTTTACTAGTATTATACTAATATATTTCAATGTTTTTAATAGTATTAAATTATATGAAATCTAAGTTGAAATATTAAATAAACTATTAACTAAAAGTTTAAATATTAAAATAAAAACTGTTAAATATGTTTAGTATTAATTATTTAATAATAAAGTTTAATAAAATATTTAATTATTTAATAGTAAAGTATAATAATTTATTAGTTAATTAGTTATTAATTATTTAACTATTACTAAAACTATTTGATTTATTTAATATTATTTATTTAATAATAATTTTAATAAAATATTTATGAATTATGTAAGATTAAAATTAAACATATTTTTATTAATACTGAATAATAAACTGTTTATTAATTAATAGTTAAAATATTGAAAAGGTGAAATATTTAATAAATTATTAAATTTATTTAATATTTAATAGTTAATAATAATGTTTAATGAACTATTTATTAATTTTTTAAAATTTATAATTAAAATACATTTTTATTACATTGAATAAGACTATTTATTAACTGTTACTCTGTCAATCACATTTTAAAAATATTTTTAAATAATTAAAATTAGAATTATAAGTTTATTACGTATTATATTGAATAATAAATTATTTATACGCTATATATATTTCACTGGAAAACCTTGGAAGTTAAGAATGCTAGTCCAATGTATAAGTGTTTATGAGAAATGTGAAGGTCTAGATAAAATTTTGGAATTTGTCATCTTTTAATATTCAAAGAAAAATACTTATTAACAGTTTAGAAAAGAGTTGAAAATAATGTGTTCGACATCTATAAAACATTGAGATAGACAAGTTTAAAATATTGACATTGATACATCGATATCAATAAAATATTGTTAAAATAAAATAATCGAACATGATCAATTGTGTAAATTTTGTGTCATACACCAAATATGTTTATGTGTTAGACACTAAAATTATCTTATTCTTTGCTTATGTAGGTTATACAAAGAATCAACCGAAGATTACATTGCAGGACGCATCACAAAAGTTAAGAATTACAGGTGAACGACCAATTCCAGAAAACAAATGGAAAAAATTTGATCAAACATATCCTGTTCCAGAAAATAGTGATGTAGGGACACTTGAAGCCAAGTTTGAACAAGAAACCCTCATTCTTAAAATACAAAAGAAACCCATTTCACAATCACAAGTTGTTCCTCCTAATCAAGAAGTGGAAAAAAGTCAACAAGATCCTTTAAGTAATGAGGATTTAGATGAAACAAAGCTTAAAAAAGTCAAAGAGACCATTCAACCAACACAATCTTCAACTAAATTTGAAGAACCAGCTCAAGACATGAATAGTGATTCGCCTCAAACTCAAAGCATTGAGAAAAAGTCACAAGAAACTATTCATGATGACACATTGACTCAAATTGCTAAAGAAACAATTAGCAATAATGAGTCTCAAAAGGGTTTACAAGAGTTAGAGCCAAAACCAACATTTAGTGACACAACGAAATCACAAGAGACTATTCATGATGACACATTGACTCAAATTGCTAAAGAAACAATTAGCAATAATGAGCCTCAAAAGGGTTTACAAGAGTTAGAGCCAAAACCAACATTTAGTGACACAACGAAAACACAAATATATGAAAATGTCCAACAAAAATTTGAGGCAAAACCAACCTTCAAAGACACGACTAAAATACAATTTGATGAAAAGGCTAAAAAAGGTCAAGAGGAATTTGAGCCAAAACCAACATCCATTGAGAAAACCAAAACGCAAATAGATGAAAATGTTCAAAAGGACCAAGAAGAAATTGAGAAAAATCCAACATTCAATGTGAAAACCAAAACACAAATAGATGAAAAGACTCAAAATAAACAACAAGAATTTGAGAAAAAACCAACACTGGTTGAGAGAGTCAAAACACAAATAATTGAAAAGACTCAGAATGGTCAAGAGGAATTTGAGGCAAAACCAACCGTCATTGAGAGAATTAAACAACAAATAGATGAAAAGATACAAAAGGGTCAGGAGGAATTTGAGCCAAAACCAACATCCATAGAGAAAGGCAAAACAGAAACAAATGAAAAGCCTCAAATTGGTGAAGAGGAATTTAAGAAAAAACCAACATTGATTGAGAGAATCATAACACAAATAGCTGAAAGGACTCAAAAAGGTCAAAAGGATTTTGAGGTGAAACCAACAGCCACTGAGAAAATTAAACAACCAATAGATGAAAATGTACAAAAGGGTCAAGAGGAGTTTGAGCCAAAACCAACATTCATTGATAAGATCAAAACACAAATAGATGAAAAGGTTCAAAAAGGTCTGGAAGAATTTGAGAAAAAACCCACATTTATTGAGAGAATCAAAACACGAATAATTGAAGAGGCTCAGAAAGTTCAAGAAGAATTTGAGGCAAAACCAACATTTATTGAAAGAAGCAATACACAAATAGATGAAAAGGCTCAAAAGGATAAAGAAGAATTTGAACCAAAACCAAAATCCACAGAGAAATTCAACATAGAACAAAATGAAAAAATTCAAAAGGGTCAAGAGGATTTTGAGCCAAAACCAATAGAAAAGGTTGTTACTAAAGAGAACTTAGAGAAAAATATAGTGAAAAATAGTGACAAAGATGATGAGGTGAAAAGGATCTTAGACAAGGAAGAAACTGAAGACAAAGATGAGAAGCCTTATGAGTCAAGCAAAACTTTAATAGGTGTGAAGAATCAAAACATAAAAGAAAATGAAATTGAAAAAAACGAACTTCCTACTCCAAAAGTTACAAAAACTCCAAAGAAATCTTTCACTGGAATTTCTCCCGTGCAAGAAGAGAAGAATGAAATCAGAGAATTAGTTGATGCTTCTTCTCAATTTGAAAAACCAATGGCAAAAGAAAAATGGTGGAGTGATGAGAGACATCTAATTGAAAATGCAAGTGTTGCAGTTCTAGTGATTGTTGCATTTGGAGCCTATATATCATATAGGTTTTCCTCTTGAAGGATAACTATAACTAATTCTAATTCTACTTGCACATGGAAAAATAATGCTTGATGCTTGAATACATTCTCTTCTCAACTAATGTAAAAATCTACACTTACATTTGTTCAAAAATAAATATGTATTGCATTTTATTCCATTTTAATATAATAAAATATTTTCTTATTTTATACATCTTTTATCTTATAATACCATAGCATATATTTTCTTAACCTATTATCAACTACCTTAAAAAATTGAATGTAGTTGTTAGAAAGTCAAGATTAATCACTGGTTGTTAATTAGAAAGTTCTTATTTAAAGTTATTCATTTATCTTAAAATGAGTTAAAGTGTTATACATGTTTACTTATATTTAATCTTCTTTTTCTTTAATTGTTTTTTTCTGGGTTTAATTTATATGCTTCGAATTTCTGTTGTAATTTTAATAATATTTATTGTATTTAAAAAAAATTGTGATGCCCTAATTTATAATATTAAGCATTGTTACATTAATGATATGCTAGTGTGATGAATGAATGATTAGTAATTATTTAAATAAAGATGGAAGAAAGTAAATTGGATTAAGGACCAAGGGCAAATGTGTGAAGAGAGCTTTTACTTGATCACAATTGGCTAGCGTGTGAAGAATTTTTGGGAATTCTTGAAAAAGGATTATCAAGCAAGGATTTGGATCATCAATCTCTCCTTTTCACTTCACAAATTTCAGAATTTTTCTTCAAGGTGAGTTCTAGTTGTTTTGATTTTGAAGAGTTAGTACCAAACTTAGGAATACGTGAAGGGTGGGAATGAAATAATTTGATTATGCGAACCTCTTGCTTGATATCATGAGAAATACATGCATGATTGTGATGTTTGGAATTTTTTTTAGTTCACTATGATTAACTATGATTTATATTGATAATAATTGCAAAAAAATAAAATTGCATGTTTGTGTTGTTGGTTGAATGCGAAAATATGAAAAAATTGGGATTTTTAAAATTATCCATAGAACTGAATTGTTAGCTACGAACTGACCGTGGGTAACTCTCCAAATTGCAAGAACATCATTTAACACAACCTGTGTTGTTGGATATGAGTTCGCCATATTTCCATCTAATTTTTGTAACACCTCAAATATACTCCGTGCGTTTAATTAAAAATCAGAGTGAATTCGAACATTTTATATTTAGGATGTCACATAATTCAACACAATCAGCTGCTCATGTATTATAATATGTAACACATGCAAGTATTTAAAAATTATTTAAAATCACTAAAACAACTCAATCTGTCTTAATTTCAAAACTTTATTAGAATAGCGGAAACATCAACATAAATATTTATTCAAAGCATAATTATTCTTTAAAATAACATAAACAAAAATTATTCTAGAGATATCTAAAAATCTCCATCAAACTCAACATAACACAACATTTCCTGACCCCAGTGTTATACATCAGAGAAGACACTGACACTAAAGGGAAAACATAAGACTTTATCTTCTACTTACTTCAACTCCTCTACTACGAATTATCTACACGGTACCCGTGTAAAGGCAACATTCAAACAGAAGGGGTGAGATATCATTATTAGATAAAGGAAAACATGATAATTAAGCAAACATCAGATTATTCATGCATAAACACCCATTCCACAACATACAACCATATAACAGCAGTTACAACCAACATGACAACAAATCCAACATGACGACAACCACAACAATAATGCAATGCATTAAGACTCACAAATCGACTCAATGCATGTGGTACTATCAATTCCAATTTCAGAACCCGATCCCTATTTCAGGATCACAATTCCCGTCGGAATTTTCATAATGTCGCTCACACCCCACATGAACACACGACTTCTGTGATTGCTCACACTCCACATGGACACACGACTTATGTGATCGCTCATACCCCACATGGGCACAGGATCACCTCAACAACAACAACAACAACAACAATGATACGATTCCGTAATTAGAATCTGGATAGGACGCTCACACCCCACATGCGCACACGACTTATCTCAAAACTCATACAACCATGAAATGCATGACAACAACAAAAATGAACATCTAAACAATGCAACATCTCACTATAGGTCAGTAACAACAACATGTCATATAGTCCAGCAACAACAACATACAACATGGCAAGCATCCTCAAGGCATTTGAAATTGTATCACACCACAACAAAATGATTATAATTTGTTTAATATAACAAACAACAGAGTTATTCAACTTCTGCCACCAAAACTATTTTTCTACAAAAGTTTGACACGTCAGCTTCCCGACGCTTCGAATGGCACTCGAATCGGACTCTCGAAACAAAAGTTATGAATTTTAGAAAAAATTTCAACAAAACAGCAGTGTAACTAGTTACGCAAAATATGGTAACCGGTTACGCCTACGTAACCAGCTTACCAACACCATCGTCAATGGTGTAATCGATTACCACAAAACCCATAATCGATTACGCTTTCGAAAAAGGCCAAAGATGCAGTTTTTAGCTAGCGTAATCAGTTACCTAAAAACCCGTAATCGATTACGCTTTCGAAAAAAGTCCAAAATGCATTTTTTAGGTAGCTTAACTGAATACACCCAAAACGGTAATCGGTTACGCTTCGACCAAAATCACTTTATCAACAACTTATCATACAAAATCACTTGTGAACCCTCCCAAAACTTCCTTTTTCTTATAAATCATTTGGAACATGTTTTAACACGAAAAATCACTTTTTTAAAGTCTCAAACCCCAAATCCTTTTCATCAAAAATGGCTCATGACTTTGTTCCGACTCTAACTCGCCATCATAACAACCAAGAACATCAAGCAACGAAAAATTCAGCAACAACAATGCAAAAATTTCATCAATTACAACAATTCTAACAACAACATACATCATTCATCAGAAACAACTAAACCCCACAAAACCATTCCATCAAAAGTATGAATAAAACGAAGAAAAAAAACACAACCTACATAAAATAACCTACCCACAGTTATCATCATACTAACCCTTAGCTAGTTAGAACCCTACCCTTACCTTAGAGTTCTTGCAATGATTTTCTCTTCCTTAACAATGGACTATCTTCTCTCTTCTCCTGAGCCCTAACCTTTCTTCTCCTCTTTCTCACTTTTTCTCAGTTTTCACGATCTGATAACAACTCTTCTCAACTTCCCCTTTTTCTATTATATATTATTATTATTATTATTATTATTATTATCATTATTATTATTATTATTATTATTATTATTATTATTATTATTATTCCATAAATTAAATAATAATAATAATATTCCCTAATTATTTAAATTAGTAATATTCAACTAATATTACTAATATTATTTAATTATCCATTCTCATCACACCTCCAAGTTCTAAGAAATCAGTCATACACCCTCACCCTTAGGGTTTATAATTCTAAGGTCACTACTGTAACACCCCCTTTCTATACCCCCAAATTAATACATTTAATCAATTAGGCACTTAGAAAATTTATTTCATCAGAGTTGAATTAAAACATGGTATATAAGAGGCGCATCACATTATCATGAAATTAAACACATACGATACCTGCTCAAAATAGATATGCAACAATGGGTAACCCACATCTCAATATTTAGAATAAAAGCGGAAACATCCAAATATTGAATCGATCACATACATAAAAGTATATACAACCATTCAATCAATTCATGCTTTACAACCATATCCACAGCGGATACATACACAGATGTATCACAAGGAATCAAAACAAATGTAACTCCAAAAGAGTCAAAGGCTTCCTAACTACCCAGATGTTACATATCAGAGCCATTGACCAAAAAGAATGAAGACATCGCTTCACAAAAAGAACCTCCAGCTTCCTACTCTACAATGCCTCATAGAGCATTATAAAACAGCAGAAGGGTGAGAAACAATATCATAACAGTTAATGCATAAAATTGTATATATACATATACTCATATTTGTACAAGTTATACTCAAATTATGTTCTCACCACATTAAGCATATACAATTAATCATGCCTCTACACATGCTCATGAACATTCACTATATGTTCCTCCAAACAATCATATATAACATACACAGTTACATTCATACAACTAATGCATCATACACAGATGACTCATGCAACTCATAGAGACCGACACACGACTCTATGCAGATGCAAATGCGGTACCGACTCATTTCAACAGATTCTCTAAGGAATCGAGTATTCAGCAGATTCTCCACGGAATCAAGTATTCAGCAGATTCTCCACGGAATCAAATATTCATCAGATTCTCCACGGAATCGAATATTCAGCAGATTCTCAACGGAATCAAATACTCAGCAGATTCTCCACGGAATCAAATACTCAGCAGATTCTCCACGGAATCAAATACTCTAGTCAATCCTCCAAGGGATTACATGTTATGACCGATTCTCCGAGGAATCACACAATGCAACCGATTCTCCAAGGAATCTAATGTAACCATCGTATCATACGAGGTTCTGCAAATCCTCCGAGGGATCATTCAACACAAAAATGCATACTAAGATGCTACACAATGCTAATCCTCCGAGGGATCGATCAACACAGAATGCATACTATGTTCACAAACATACTCATTGCATTTATCACTTACATCGCATATATCTATCATGCATTCACATTATGCACCATTTCACACATGGTTTACACACATATCAGCCTATCAATGCGTTTCTATTCAATTCAAGCAAATACACAAGATTATCAAACGTTCAAGATTCACCATTGACTCTACAATCTAGGATTCACGCCTTTCGGCCACCCACAGCACGACATGTCGAAACAGTTCACACATTAATCATTCATATAGGCATTAATCATAATTGAATCGGCCAAAAATCATGCTATGAACAAACAGCAAAACAAATAACACTGTCAGGTTCGCCAACCTTCGCCTGGCGAAGCCACGCAGCGAATGCTCGCTGGCCTTCGCCTGGCGAACTTCCCAGCGAAGTCCACTGGGAGTAATTC